TCCCACAACTAGAAAAAAAAAAAAAAAAAAAAAGCCTATGGTCACCAAGAAAGGAAATAATAAAGATTCAAACAGAAATCAATGGAACAGAACATAGAAAGACAACAGAAAAAATCAACAAGATCAGAAGTTGGTTCTTTGAAAAGATCAGTAAAATTGACAAACCGCTGGCAAATTTAACAAAGGGAAAGAGGGAGAGAATACAAATAACACGAATAAGAAACCAAATGGGTGACATCACAACAGAACCAATTGAAATAAAAAGGATAATACCAGGATGCTATGAAGAACTATACTCCAACAAATTTTAAAATCTGGAAGAAATAGACCGATTTCTAGAAGCAAACCACTTACCTAAACTAAAACAGATTGATGTGGAAAAGTTGAACAGATCCACAACAAAAGAAGAAATTGAACAGATCATGAAAATAATTGACAACAACAACAACAAAAAACTCCTGGCCCAGATGGTTTCACCAGAGAATTCTACCAAATATTCAGAGAAGAACTGACACCAGTCCTACTCAAACTGTTCCAAAGCATAGAAAAGGATGGAATCCTCCCAAATTCATTTTACGAAGCAAGCATAATCTTCATACCAAAACCAGGCAGAGACATCACTCAAAAGGAAAACTACACACCAATATCCCTCATGAATATAGATGCAAAAATCTTCAACAAAATCCTAGCCAATAGACTCCAATAACATATTAAGAAAATAATTCATTTTGACTAAGTGGGGTTCATATCAGCTATGCAAGGATGGTTCAACATTAGAAAAACAATCAACGTCCTCCACCACATAAATAAAACAAAGAAGAAGAACCACATGATCATATCAATTGATGCAGAAAAGGCATTTGATAAAATCCAACACCTATTCCTGATCAAAACTCTCAGCAAAATGGGAATAGAAGGGACATTTCTCAACATAATAAAGGGCATCTTTGCAAAACCAACAGCCAACATTATTCTCAATGGACAGAGACTGAAACCATTCCCCCTGTAAACAGGAACCAGACAAGGATGCCCTCTATCCTCACTTCTATTCAATATTGTATTGGAAGTCCTAGACAGGGCAATAAGGCAAGAAAGGGAAATCAAAGGCATCCAAATTGGTAAGGAAGAAGTACTTACCAATCCTATATACAGAAGTCCTTACGATCCTATACATAGGAAACCCAAGAGACTCAGTAAAAAATCTACTGGAACTAACTGAGAGATTTAGCATCATGGCAGGATACAAGATCAACATCCAAAAATCAGATGGATTTCTCTACACCAGCAAAGAGATTGCTGAAAAGGAAATCAATACCATTTACAATGTTGTTGTTGTTATGTGCCATTGAGTCAGACCTGACTCATAGCGACCCCTCCTTGGGTTTCTGAGGCAATATCACTACGGAAGTAGATTGTCCCATCTTCCTTCCGAGGAGTGACTGGTGGGTTTGAACCTCCAGCCTTCTGGTTAGCAGTCAAGTGCCTTAGCCACTATGCTACCAGAGCTCCCATTTACAATAGTTACCAAAAATAAATAAATTCTTGGGAATAAATCTTACCAGGGATACAAAAGACCTGTACAAAGAAAATTACAAAAGACTACTTCAAGAAACCGTAAGAGATCTACATAAATGGAAGAATATACCATGCTCGTGGATAGGAAGATTGAACATTGTGACAATGTCAATTCTACCCAAAGCAATCTATACATTCAACACAATCCCAATCCAGATCCCATCAAGATTTTTTAAGGATATGGAAAGACCAATCACTAACTTTATATGGAAAGGAAAGACATCCCAGATAAGCAAAGCACTGTTGAAGGAGAAGAACAAAGTAGGAGGTCTCACACTGCTGGATGTCAAAACCTACTATACAGCCACAGGCCACAGTAGTCAAAACTGCCTGGTATTGGAACAATGAGAGACACATAGACCAATGGAACAGAATTGAGAACCCAGAAATAGATCCATCGACCTATTGTCAGCTGATGTTCAACAAAGGACCGAAATCCATTAAATGGGGGAAGAGAATGTCTGTTTAATAAATGGTACTAGCAAAACTAGATATCCATTTGCAGAAAAAGAAAACAAGATCTATACCTCACACCATGCACAAAAACTAACTCCAGATGGACCAAAGACTTAAATGTGAAACCTAAAACTATTAAGTCCTTCAAGGCAAAACTAGGGGCAAATTTACACAAATGTTGTCATTGTTGTTAAGTGCCATTGAATCATCTCTGACTCATAGCGACCCTATGCATAGCAGAACGAAACACTGCCTGCTCCTGAGCCAGCTCCACAATTCTTGCTACACTTGAACCCATCGCCGCCGCCACTGTGTCAATCCATCTCATTGAGGGCCTTCCACTCTGACATCGACCCTCCACCTTACCAAGCATGACAGCCTTCTCCAGGGAATGGTCCCTTCTGACAACATGACCAAAGTATGTAAGAAAAGTCTGACCATTCTCACCTCCAAGGAGCATTCTGGCTGCACTTCCTCCAGGACAGACCTGTTAGTTCTTTTAGCAGTCCACAGTATATTCAGCATTCTTCACCAACACCACAGCTCAAAAGCATCGACTCTTCTTTGGTTTTTCTTATTCATTGTCCAGCTCTCACATGCATATGAGGCGACTGAAAATACTATGTCTTGTGTCAGGCACATCTTACTTCAGGACAGATCTTGAAACATCTTTTGTGATGATGAATGCCACGCCATTCCTTTTCAATTTGTCATTCCAGGCATTGTAGATCATATGATCATCTGATTCAAAATGGCCAAAATTGGTCCATTTCAGCTCAATAATACCTAGGATATCAATCTTTATACGTTCCATTTCATTTTTGACAACTTCCAATTTTCCTAGATTCATACTTCGTACATTCCATGTTCCAATTATTAATGGATGTTTGCAGCTGTTTCTCCTCAATTTGAGTCGTGCCATGTCAGCACATGGAGGTCCTGAAAGACTTACTTTATCCATATCATTAAGGTTGGTTCTACTCTAATGAGGCACCTCTTTCCCGGTCCTATTTTGAGTGCCTTCCAACCCAAGGGGCTAGTCTTCCTGCACTGTGTTGGACAATGTTTCCAAGGTATTCATAAAGTTGCCCAGTAATGTATCAAATAGTTTTTCTCTGCTATTCATAAGGTTTTTCCCGGCCAATTTTTGAGAAGTGGGTGGCCTCCTCCTTCTTCCTAGTCTGTTTTATACTGTAAGCTATGTTGAAACCTGTGCACCATGTGCAACTCTGCTGGCGTCTGAAACACCAGTTGCACAGCCTCAAGCCTCACAGCAACTTACAAGCTTCACAGGATAACAAATTGTCAGACAAGTTTGTCTCCCTTAGCTGTTGGAAACCTCTGAACCCTCCTATTACTTAATTCCTCTGTGGTCCCCAACCGCTCCTGGTCCCTCCCTATCCTGGCTCTAGGGGGCTTGAGGCCTAGCCTTGCCTCTTGCCTCTTTTAACCTGGATATCCTGCCACTCCTGAGGTCCCCAAGGCTGATCCTAGTCCCTCCCTTTCCTGGCTCTAGGGGGCTTAAATAGCAGAAGATAAACTAGATGATTGGGACATTCTGAAAATTAAATTTTTATGTGCTTCCAAAGACTTCTCCAAAAGAGTCAAAAGAGAACCTACACATTGGGAAAACATATTTGTCAATGACATATCTGACAAGAGATTTATCTCTAGAATTTATAGAAAACTCCAACACCTCAACATCAAAAAGACAAATAATCCAATTAAAAATGGGCAGAAGACATGAATAGACACTTCACCAGAGAGGATACTTAGGTGGCCAACAAACATAAGAAGAAATGCTCACCATCATTAGCCATTAAACCAAAAATAAAAAAAAACCTCACTGCCGTCGACTCATAGCGACCCTTCCTTGGGTTTCCAAGGCAGTATCTCTATGGAAGCAGATTGTCCGATCTTCCTTCTGTGGAATGGCTGGTGGGTTTAAACCACCAGCCTTCTGGTTAGCAGTCAAATGCCTTAGGCACTACAATGAGATACCATCTTGCCCCAGTACTAGTAGCAAAGTTCAACAAGACAGAAAATAACAAATGCTGGCAAGGATATGGAGAGATTGGGACTCTCATACACTGCTGGTGGGACTGTAAAATGATACAACCAGTGTGGAAAGCAGTATGACAATTCCTTAAAAAGTTGGAATTAGAAATACCATTTGATCCAGCCATTCCATTACTAGGTATATATCCTAAAATGAATTTGCTCTGTAAACTTTCATCCAAATAACAATTTTAAAAAAAAAAAAAGCTTTGTATTATATTTATAGCAGTCCTGTAAGTCTTTTATACAATTTTTTCCTGTACTCTTTTCTGTTTATTATTTTTAATATAAATGGGACCAAAATTTTGAGTTATTTTCCCTTAATGACTGTTAGTATATGGGCATGACACTAATTGTGATACATTTATCTTTTACCAAAGTAATTTATTTATTAAAAAATAGTTACAGTAACATCTCTCCTGATTCCACTTCACTTTCTAGCCATGCAATCATCTGAAAGTGTTGATATTTTTGTTTCTTTCTTTCTCATAGTTCTTTTTATCTCATTGTATCATCAGAAAATTCTATTAAAAATAGCAATAATTGTGATATTGGAGTTTATTTCTAAGTCTTTAGAGATTTCTTTCAGTGTAATATCAGCTTTGCTTTAACAGAGGTATTTCCACTGAGATAGAAGCCTTCTTCATTCAATACTTGACTCTTTTTTCCTTCCTTCCTCCCTCTGTTTCTCTCTCTCTCTCTCTGTCTGTCTCTCTTTCTTTCTTTCCATACTATCAATGGATGTTGAGCACCTATATTTTTCTACACACAGGGTCCCTGCACTTTCAGGTATTTGGCTTGTTTCCTTCTCTTCTCAAGCATGGTCCATTCTTATGGGGAGAGGGGTGATCTCAAGCTGAAGAAGAAAGTACAGATTTTCTTTCATTCTCCTTTAGACAGCAGTGACTTACCGTGATGGCCTCGATGCACTCAAAATAGGAGGTTCTCTTTACACAGGTCACAAAAGGACCATCAAATGGAGAGACCGTCATCATACTGTTACGGAAACTGGAGCACTTTCTAGCCTCATGATCTGACACCGTGCACCATCTCACAGTTCTCTCAGGGACAGCCAAACACAAGCCTAGGGGAGACAGGGCGGAGGTATAAGGGACTCCCAGCACTTACCTTTCTCTGCTGACAAAAGATGTTAAAGGCATACTAACGGGTCACCGTGTGTTGTAGGCACAAATTAGATCGGCTCCTTGACTCACATGAATTCTCAAGGCCCATTTTTCTGCTTCTGCCCTATCCCTGTTAAGGCATCCTCAAAAAGTTAAACTTTGAATTACCATATGACCCGGCAACTCCACTCCTAGTTATATACTCAAAGGAATTGAAAACAAGTACTCAAATAAATACTTGTAGACACATGCTCATAGCAGCATTATTCACATTAGCCAAAAACTGGAAACAATCCAAGTGTCCATCAGCAAATGAATGGGTAAACAAAATGTGGTACATACATACAATGGACTATTTTTAAACCATAAAAAGGAATGAAGTACTGATACATCATATGTATATGAGCCTCAAAAACATTACACTAGGTGAAAGTCCAGACACAGAGGCCATATTACCTACTTCTATTTATATGAAATATCTAGAATAGGTAAATCCATAGTAACAGAACACAAACTAGTAGTTGCCAGCTGCTTGGGAGAGAAGGTTTGGGAAGTGACTGCTTAATGGGTATGGGTTTTTCTTTTGGGATGATGAAAATGTTTGGAACTTAATAGAGGCAGTGGTTGTACAACACTGTGACTGTACTAAATACTACTGAATTGTATACTTTAAAATGGTTCATTTTATGTTACGTGAATTTCACCTCCAAAAAATGAGGTAAAAAGAAAAGTTCTGTGGGAAGGCAGTTTTGGGCCTGGTGATTTAGTCTTCATTTTGGCATTGGATACACTGGCCTTAACACCAAAAATCCAAACCAGTTGCCATCACATCAGTTCTGACTCATGGTAACCACATAAGTGTCAGAGGAGAACTGAGCTCTACAGAGTTTTCAGTGGCTGATTTTTCAGAAGTAGGTTGCCAGGTCTTTTTTCCAAGGTGTCTCTAGATGAACTTGAAACTCCAACCCTTCTGTTAGCAGCCAAGTCTGTTAATTGTTTGCATCACACAGGGACTCCACTCTAATCTTACTTGGTGTTAATTGCCAGGTCATTAAAATCAGAGCTCAATTATTTCAGTGGCATTGTCTGCCTTAGTTGTTAGTGTAGAAAGCATTTCAAAGGCAAAATGCTGTTTTCAAATCTGTAGTATTACGGCAAAATTTGTTTTAAATGAAATGTTGAATATGAACGTTTTAGCTCTGGTAGAGAAGTGACTCAGGCCCTTGACTGCTAACCAGAAGGCTGACGGTTCAAACTCACCAGCCACTCCTCGGAAGGAAGGTTGGGCAATCTACTTCCATAGTGATACCGCCTCGGAAACCCAAGGAGGGGTTGTTGCTATTGTTGTACCCAGGCTATAAAGGAGATGCTCAGAAGAGAGGAATACGCCAACACACGACAATGCAAATGCA